CAGGGGGAGCTCCAGCGGCCGTGCCAGGCGGGGAAGGGGGCCCCTGGGGCACTCGCTGAGCAGGGCAGAGGGCGGCCTGCAGGAACCGTGCCTCGGGCGCATGGCGGCATGGGGAGCGGGTTCTTCGGGAGCCCCCACACCCCTGGGGCCTTGTCCTGGGCTGGCAGGGACAGCCAGGCCCCAGGGTTCGTGCCCTTACCTGCAGGTTAATGATGTCTCCACTGATGCATGGTGATATTTTGACGTCGTATATTCCACCGCAAATATGCGCCTGGATGTGTCCTCTCGCAATTAGCGGCTCTGCCACTACAGATGGAGGAAAGCCCTGAACTGCCCCTGCTGAGCTCCAGGGCAGGGTACGTCCCTGGCCCAGACACCAAGGCTGGCACTGCCCAGCCCCGGCTCACCTGCACCAGCACCGCCTCAGGGGAGACAGGACAGCCTGGGCTCGCTCTGCCTTCCCCGTTCCCCACAGACACAGCTCCATCGGCCCTTGGGAGATGACCTGTGCCCCCCTAGAGCCAGCTGGGCTGCTCCCCCCCTTGCCGGCAGCCCGAGCTCAGCACACTCCACGTACCTCCATCCTGCACAAAGGTCAGCACCACCTGGCCAGAGTCATCCAGGAACTCCCTGCTCTCCACCTCGCCGCCCCCATTCTTCGTCTTGCTGAAGAAGAGCTCCAGCTTGTCCAGCAGTGCCTCCTCGGGGACGCCCAGGCTGGGCAGGTCAGACACGAGGATACTCCTGTTGCTCTGAGTCAGCCTGATCTGCGGGTGGCACAGGCCGGTCAGTGCCAGGGCAGGGCAGGGCCGGCCCCAGAGCTCGGAGGAGCAGCACAGAGCTGCAGCACTAACACACTGAGCTGGGCTGGCACCAATGACCCGGCAGAGGCAAGTGTGGGGAGCAGGAGAGCAGGGCACAGCAAAGCTGGTGTGTGCCCATGGCAGCTCTGTGGTTCCTCGTGGTGTGGGGAGCAGCGGGCCCTCGGCACCTACCTCCAGGGCAGACGGCAGCAGTATATCCACCGGCGCTGCCTGCACTCGCGCTCTGCACCGATCGGCCTCCTCCAGCTCCTCCCCGTAGCTCAGCTCCACCACGTGCTCCTTCATCTCTATGATCCTCTGGGCCACTGTAAGCAGGGAGAGCCCCCGGCACAGGGCATCGTCCGCCTGCTCTGAGCGCACATGGGACAGGACACGGGGCAGCTAACACTTTGGGGAGGGGGCATGACCCCACACAATGCCGGCAGAGGGGGCAGAGCTCCGAGCCCTGGCCCAGGGAGGGGATGCAGGGCAGGCCCCGAAGCCGATCAACCAGGACACCTGGCGGTGTCGCTGCTTTTCTCACTCTTACCCTCTGCCTTCTCAAAGGTGATGAGAGCTGAGCCCCCCGGCAGAGGGTAGTGGATCAGTGGGGCGAGCATCAGCTTGTTCATGTCCTCTTTGTTTGTCACAAATCCCTTAAATGCCATTTTCTTCTCTGGCAAGGCAGACAGCATCTAGGTTTGAGTACACAGAACACCTGGAGGAGACTGCACCTCGCACAGGGCCTGTCCCTGCCGATCCACAGACTAGAAACAAGCTCATGGCTCAAATAAACAGCTGGAGAGTCTCAGCAGAGTCTCTCCTAGGGTCTGGCTGTGCCTGGAGTCCCAAAGCCATGACTGGAGCTTCTGGCCCTGTCAGAGGAGCCACCCGCTAGCAGGAGCTGTGCCAGTTGTCACACAGCACCCTGCTGCATTTGCCCACAGCCTCTCCAGCCAGGCTCGCACCCCTTGCCAGCAGACCCAAGTGCCCACACACACTCCATTACCATCACCTGGTCCTCCCAGAGGACCCTCGTCCTCACTTCTTCCAGTTTCTTTTCCAGTGCCTGCTTCTCCTGCCTCAGTCTGTTCTTCTCCTCCTTTGCTAAAAATATGCCCACCTGGAAGGAAAGAGAGAGGAGGCAGCAAGGGAACCACTGTGATGCGAGGGGCCACAGCATACTCTCCACTTCAAGCACAGCAGTGCTCTCATGCACATCTCCACCCACACCGTTCTGCTCTTTGCCCACAGCCCTGCCCTGGCTCCTCTTGCTTGAGAACAGCCCTTCCTCCCCTGCCGCGGTACCGGCTCACTTCTCGGCACAGGCCTGGTGTGACATCCAGGTGAATCCTCCACCAGCTCCAGAGTAAAGCGATCTCGCAGCAGTGAGCCGTGTTGCAGCCCCACCACCTACTGCCACCTTCCCATGCCCAAGTCCTCCGACCACCAACCTGGCAGGATCTCTCTTTGTCTCTGTTTAAGGACATCTGTTGATCAAGATTTTTACAAAGAAGTTCTCCCTCTTTCCTCAGGTCTCGTGTCCTTTGCTCTACAGCTTTCTTGGCCATTTGTAGCTTCAGAGAGTCTTGCTCCAGAGCAGCACAGAATTCCTGTGAGAGGAGGCACCGTAGACAGCGAGACCCCGCAGACATTGTGCCC